AGAAGGATAGAGCGAGAGAGGGAAAGAGGGAGGGAGGGAGAGGAAGAGAAAGAAAGTGGAGAGGGAAAGAGGGAGAGGGAAAGGGAAAGGAAGAGAAAGGGAGAGGGAGAGGGAGAGGAAGAGAAAGGGCGAGGGAGAGAGGGAGAGAGAGGGATAGAGGGAGAGAGAGAAAGAGAGAGAAAAAATAGATAGAGAGAGAGAGAGAAAGAGAGAGAAAAAGAGAAAGAGAGAAAAAAATAGAAAGAGAGATAAATAGATGGATAGATAGAGAGAATAAGAATGACGCAATAACCCTAGAATCAGAATGCCATGAGAGAGGCAACGAAAGCAACAACAAACTGGGGGAAAATATCGTGCAGAGGCTGACCTATACTAACAATACATCGGTTCTCCGCGGCGAGCTTGAGAAGTGACACAAAAGAAAAGGAAAAAAAGAGAAAAATCATGATCACGCGAAAACAGACACATACATACGATCACACATACACACACACACGCACACGCACACACACACACAGACACAGACACACACACATACACACATACTAAAAAAACTCCTAACTCCTAACCCTCACCCCCTGCTCTCACATACCTCACCCCTTTCATCCTCCCCATCACCTCTCCCCCTCTCCCTACACCTCTACTCCCTTCTTTCCTATTTCACTCCCCCTCCCCTTTCCTTTTCCTTCTCCCCCCTCACTTCTCTCCTCCTATCCCTTCTCCCCTCCTATCCATTCTCCTCTCACTTCTCTCCTCTCCTTTCCCCCACCTACCCCTTCNACATTAATCTTATATAATAGTTTGTTCTTGTTATACCGTGTTTCTTCTGCACTGTCTCCACCCTTTTTTTTTAACTTTTTTTTCTCCATCTTCGGTGGTCTAGAAAGAAGAGGAGGAGGGAGAGGGAAAGGGAAAAGGGAGGGAGGGAAGGAGAGAAGGAGAGATAGATAGATAGATAGAGAGAGAGAGAGATGAGATGGGAAGAGAGAGAGAGAGACTGAGATAGATAGATTAGATAAGAGGAGAAACAGAAACACACACACACACTGAGATAATAATATATATATAGATAGATAGATAGATAGAGGAGAGAAGAGAGACTGGATAGATAGATAGATAAGAGGAGAGACAGACAGACACACACACACTGAGATATATAGATAGATAGATAGATAGATAGATAGATAGATAGATAGATAGATAGATAGATAGATAGATAGATAGATAGATAGATAGATAGATAGATGAGAGATAGATAGAGAGAGAGAGAGAGAGAGAGAGACAGACAATAGAAGCATATATATAGAGAGAGAAAGATCTTGATTTTTGTATTTTTCATTGGAGAACACGCTTATAATAATTACACATGCAAATTGGAAAGAAATGCAAACCAGAATATGTCCATGAATTAATAAAAATCTAATTATACTACCTTTAGTAAGCGTATTTTGTACACACGCCCTGCTGCCGAAAAAATAACAAAATTAATATTTACAGGAAAAGTGATGATTATAATAATTCTGATAATAATGATTCTGATAAGAATGGTAATAATGATAATAATGATATGTAAGTAGTAGTAGTAGTAATAATATATTGATAAATGATAAATGATAATGGTAATGATGATAATAATGATAACAATAATTATAATGATAATGATGTTAATAAGAATGATTATTCTAATAATAATATTGATGGTAATAATAATAATAACAACAATGATAATGATAAAAGAGATAAAAAATAATAATAATAGCAATGATAACAATGAAAATGATAACAACAACAATAACAATGATGATGATGCTAATAACAATAATTGATATGAATAAAATGAGAGTAATGATTGATTTTTACTAGTATTAAATGATAACTAATGGAATAATAATAACGACGGCAATAAACAATGATAACAATGATAATAAAGCTAATAATATAAAGAATGAGATGAAGAATCATAATATAATCATAATGATAGATTGATGAATTTGATAATAGTAATAATATTAATAATGATAATAATAAATGATGATGGATGATGAGTACAGATTATTAATGATGATATAGTGTAGTTAGTAAATAGTATTAAGTATTAGGTAATAAATAATAATAATAATAATAATAATAATATTAATAACAATAATGATGATGATGATGATAGTAATGAGAATAACAATTAAATAATGATAAAAATAATAATGATCAATAATGCAACAATTAATAATAATAATAATAATAATAATAAATAATAATGATAACAATATATACTGGATGAATAACAACAATAACATCAACCAAATAACAAGAGAATAACTACAACAAACAACAGTAAAACCAACAGAATACACGAGACAAAAGCAGCGTAGCCTGTACCTCACACAAATAACGGGGTCCAGTGAGTGAAAGTAGGAGGAGGGCAAGGGAACGTGTATGGGTTTAGGGTAAGTCTTAAATTGAGGCCAAAGGAATGCCCGGAGGGAGAAGAGTGAAGTGGTTTTGTCTCGAAAGGTAGTCTCGGTGTCGGTAATAGCCCCGCTAGTCGTAGCTGAAGGAGTAGTAGTAGTAGGAGGAGGAGTAATATGGGTAGTAGAAGTTGCTGTAGTACTATTAGGTTACTTTTGTTATTTAGTATAGTTGTAGTAGCTGTAGTAATATTAGGCTACTTCTAATAGTATAGTAGTAGCAGTAATAGTAGCTGTAGTACTATAAGGCTACTTCTAATTGTGAGTACTATTAGGCTACTTCTAATAGTAATAGTAGTAGTAGTTATAGTAGCTGTAGTAATATTAGGCTACTTCTATAGTCCAGTAAGTAGTGTAGTAGTAGTAGACAGCTGCAGTATATATAGGCTACTTCTAATAGTTAGTAGTAGCAGTAATAGTTAGCTGTAGACTATTAGGCTACTTCTAATAGTGCATGTCGTGAGTAGTAAGTTACACCAGTATTGTTGCTTGTAGTAGCAGCATTAATAGTAGTCGTTGTAGTAGCTATAGTAAAAGCAGTAGTAGTACTGAAGTAGTAGTAGCAAAGATGTAGTCGTACAGTAGTAGTGGTAGTAACAGTACTAGCAGTAGCAGTATAGTGTAATAGCAGTAGCAATAGACGTAGTAATGAAATATTATTATCAGTAGTAGTGATGATAGTAGCTGTACAAGTATGAATATTAGCAGTGTTAATACCAGTAGTTATTAATTGATAACAATGACAAAATCTAGTTAGACCAAACACCAACAAAACACAACAAACAAACAAAACAAACAAATACACAGAGAAACTAACAAACAAAAAAAACACCACAACGAAGAACCAAATAGCAAATTCCTCAACAACAGACTGAAAAATGACTGGACTTGCAAGGAACGATAGAAAAGAAAAGGGGGAAAAAAAAAGAAAGCAGAGTATCCATAAAAAAGGGGAGAGAGAGAGAAAAAAAATATGAAAAGGTAATCAGAGTAGTCATGAAAAAGGGGAGAGAGAGAAAAATAAAAAGCTGAAAGATAAGAAAGAAAATATACGTAGCGATGATAAATGATTAAAAATTTGGAAAAAAAAGAATATATATATACACAAACAACTTGAAAAAGGGACAAAACGAATTTGAAAAAGTTAGAAAATCTTTTGAACACAAACTGTACCATTTACAAAAGAAAATAAATGAAAAGACAAGAAAAATTACAATATGGTTGAAAATAATAAAAAAAATAAGAAAAAAGAAAAAAAATATACAAAAAGCACTTGAACAGAGATCAAAAGAATTCGAATAAAAAAGTAGAAAATCCTAAAAACAACACAAACTGTACCATTTACAAAAAAAAAAAAAAAAAAAAAAAGAAAAGAAGTTGGGAGTATGAGATCCATTTCGGGGAAATACAGACCACCGTTCTGTAAAAAAAGAAAAAAAATAATAAAAAAGAATAATAAAAAAATAAAAAAAATGATAAAGAAAAAAAAAAAATTATAAATAAAAAATAGAAAAATAAATAATAAAAATAATAAAAAAACTAAAAAAAACAAATAAAAAACAAAAACAAAAAAAAACTAAAAAAACAAACAAACGAAAAAACTAAAAACTAAAAAATAGACTAAAAA